GTGGCTCTCACCGAGGAGGCTGTGACTCGTGATGAGGGCAGGCGGGATGAAAGGAGGCAGGAGAATGAGGCGCACTGATTGGTTTCCATGGTAACGGCTGATGAGGTGTGGGCCAGGGCCTTGGTGTGGATCACAAATAAACAAATGTACAAGTAGAACAGCTCTCCATCACACACACTGAGCAAGAGTCCCGTGGTTTTGATTTGCCTGTTTCTTCAACTCAGCTTCATGTTTCCTGACTGACTGAGACTGAAATGACACAAATGAACTTTAATATATGAACAGTGATCTAGGATTGAACCTGTTTATTACATTTATGTGAAGCATAATCACAAAATTATTAGATCACACATGAATAACAGTTGCTGTCATGTGCACTTGGCATGTTATGCCACAGAGAAAGTTCAGTAGAATATCATTGATAACTGGAGCTGGATGTCATTAACCTCACGCTCTCCTCGGGGTCACATTGACCCAAAGAACTTTTTTTTTTCCTTCTAATTCTCTTGGGGCGGGTCAATCAGACCCAAACATTTATTTTCTTGCATGGCGAGAATTTATTAGAAAATATATTTTTGGGTCTGATTGACCCGTCCCAAGAGAGCGGGAAGGAAAAAATAGAGAGAGGAGAGTGTGAGGGTTAAGAAGTTGCCAATACGATACATACCTCGATCCAGTGCACTTTCATTTCAATACGATATATTTTAAATTGATTTGATATGGTCAATAAAAAATTAAGTCTAAATCATGTCAGTGACACTAAAAGTCTTTGTTAAATCACTTCTTGTGCAAAGTGAATATGAAAAACAAACTTTTTAATCATCAGAACAGTGAAAATGTTAAACGTGTCGCATAAATGAGTTTCCTTCCTCTAAACAAACAACAAAACCGTAGCACTGTAACAAAATAATTTCATAAAATATAATACAAAATACTCTTTGTGATATATCGATACAGCAGCCCACGATACTGATACTGTATCATCACATTAAACAATACAATATATCAGTATTTCAAAATGTTTACACACCTCTGTTGATAACGCACAAATCTGTCAAAGTCATAACATCACAGAGTGCCTTAGACTGAACGAACAGCACTTGCGTACCAAGCAGCGCACAGATGTACAGCCTCATAGAAATGTGAACTACTACTTTTAAATGTCTAAATCTTTACAAGGGTTAATAATAGTGTGTCACTAAAGTAATTAAGTATGATTAAACAAAGGAATATTCCATCCAGGAAAAACCTGTAAGCTAAATGTATTTAAATAGGCAATTATTTCTCTTTACAAATCCATGCATACTGATATAAAAGAATGTCTCTGCTTCCCTCTCTCTCTCTCTCTGCTCTCCTTCATGACAGGTTTCAGGTTTTAGTCAGTAAGGGTGAGGGTGGTGTGGAGACTTTTGGTTCAATCTTGGCAACTTCTTTACAAAAAGCATCCCACAATGTGCATCAAGATTCAGAAATTCAATGCACCTCTTCCCCACTGCAGGGTTGACAGTACTTACTACAGGCCCTCACAGTCAATAATGTAATCTTGTTTGTGGCTGAGAAGAAGCTTAGTGGTTAGCACTGTCAGTTCATGATATGCAGCTTGGAGCACTTTGATACACAGATCTTAAATGTGCATGGGTAGCATTCTGCTCTTGTGGTACATTTTGTCGTAGAATTTACAAAGGACCAGAGAAGCCTGTAACTGCGAGCTTGTGTCTTGTACGTAGTTCACACTGTCTTCACACCCCAGATGCCAGAATGTCATTTTCACCTTTTCTGCTCAGTGTTGATTCTGTTGACACATGACTTGCTCAAAAATAGGAGCATCACGTTTTTAGCCACACCCTATCGCCAAGCTCGAGTGTGAACCTGCCTCCTCAGGGTAATTAAGCACTTATAAGAAGTACATCAGAGAGAGGCACACTGCATGAAAATGCATATGTAAAATGGAGGATCAGAGCTAGAGAAGAGAGAATGTTAAGAGAAAAATCTGCTTAGCAACAGCAGCACATCAACTGCTTCAAAACAATTTAACGGTCTGACTCAGGGCTCTGGCCACAAACTCCATCATCATGAGTCAGGATGTCACAGTATCCAAATGTAGGTCCAAAACCTGCAAGTGTCTGCTATCAAATCTCACAGCAAAAAGGGGACAGAGACCATTAAAAAAAACATTTTAAAAAAAAGGCTTAAAGGCTTTAGCAAGGGCTGTTGATGAGGATGTGATGGAGGTGAGGTCTAATACACAGGACAGAATAGTTATGCATTAGCAAAAATATACAAAATTAAAAAGACAGTGGAAGAAGAACAACATAACTAATCCATCGTTTCTGAACACTCAAAGTGGGAGAAAGTTGTAACCCACATATATAGGGTGGGAAACCAACCCACAGCTCGTTCAGATGCTGAGCCAGTAATCCCAGTTTGATCAACTAATCAAACAAAAGACATTGTCTTAAGCAACACTGTATCTAATATACCCCCAGTACATCAAAGAAGCTCATTCGTGTAGGCTCCTGATCAATACTTCATATGAGTTAATATTGATTGGTGATTGACCTGCACTGCAGTGGATTTTAATGATGACAGCTCATTATCTGCTTTCTTTGCTGTCATCACTGTGAACAAAGCACAGGTTCTGTAGTATCTGTGCTGGCCTATTTTTTCCTTTCCATTGTAGAAGAAACAAGTGGGAGTGCAGCGTCTGTGCAGAGGAGAGCTATAGACGAGGGAGTAGCTGGGGACCCCAGAGCTGTGGGTGATGTGTGGGAGGCAGATGGCGGAGTGGTTTAATGGGGAGCATTTAAACAGGGTTTGAGGCAGGTCCACACAGGAAAACAGGGACAGCAGCATTACAAGAGAAACCCTCTGGTGAAAGACATTCACACGAGCCAATGGGGAAGAATGTAATGAACATATCAGTAGTTGTTGTGCAAGGTTTTAAGGGTCTCAAGTCATCAGGCAGTAGTGCAAAGTGTACCTAGACTTACAAAAAATGCAGAATAAGTTAAGAAAATACTTAAGTAGGTATACAGAAAGTGTTTAAATGTTAAAGAAGACCTATTGTGCTATATGTTATGTAGTTATGACACTCATGGATAAACATTTTAAAATCACAATAATCATCTAAAATGACTTAATAAAAAAAGCAAGTCTGCTCACTTCTGCGCTAGTAAATTGCGGTGCCCAATGGGAGCCAACCTCACCGTAAATGTGAAGACAACAAAGAGCTGTGAGGTTGTCAGCACTTCCAATGGTAGCTACAGATCACACTAGTGTGCAGCAGATTTTGGTATCAGAAATGATGTCTGATGTGTTATAAAACAGCAAGTTGACAATACATTAAAGATCAACATCATCAAATGTAAACAAATGTAATGTTGAGTAACATCAGGCTTAGGTTAACAATTACATTTCACATATGGAAATTTGATTTGTCTTAATTAATGTTGTCATACGCATTAAACTCCACAATGCCAAAGTGATTTTCCTGTCTCTCTAAAAGTTTAACTGTCTGAAGTGGGACTGAAGAGTGGTCTGAATACACGGCTTAGCAGGAGTTAGCGAGGGTGTCTGCTGGCTTAATTGGATTAGAGAGAGTGACGCGACCTTAGCAGCTTTTAAACACGTCGCTCACTTACTTATGTGGTCCAGACGGCCTTTTCCTTCTGATCTCTGATTCGTGTGCTGACCCTAGCCACTAGGGTCTAAACACAAACACCAAGTTTTACAAGTGACCTTCTTTTCCCACAAATGTGATCTGCACACCTTACCTCCATGAATCATAGAGTTGCACAAATGTGCTCAATATGGCACAGATCATCTACAGCAAAAGCCACAGGCACAAGCCCGCTGGTGCCGGGGACAGTATGACACAGAGCTGGGCTGTCAGCGTGTTGGCTGAGTGTTCCCAAACGCTACATTTAAGTTTGAAATATTTACAACTGGAGGTGAAAATGCAAGAGGAGTGAAAACTACATCAGGCTATGAGCATGGATAGTGTGTCAACTTAAAACAGCAACAGAAGCAGTGACGACAAGTGACAAAATATACAATTGTAGAGAAATGTCCCCGTCAGAGGCAGAGTAGAAACAGGTGAAAGGGAAATTATCAAAGCAGCTACAAACCACATCCACACTGCGCCTTTTCAACTGCTTTTCAACAGAGGTGAGTCAGCAGATCATTTTGGTTCTCTCAATGTTTAGATAAAAACAGAAAATAAAATACTAATTGAACTGAAACTGTGTAAACTGTGATATCTTGTAATATCACAACATATCAGTTATGTGAACAGATGGCATTTTCTGATGTGCCGAAAGAGCACCAGCTTGCAACCAGTACCTCTTGTTCTGTACTACTTACCAATAATGAATAACATCTAAAGAGGATAAGGCAAAAAAAACAAAAAACAAAACATGCCACTGCACAAATGAGAAGAAACTCCAACTTCGAACCACTTTGTTTGTACCTCTTGTCACCTGTCCGTTGCTGTTGGACAATCCTGCATCATCCATCAGCCTCTCCATCTCCTTACCTTCACCTCAACTAAAGTGTCCCCTTAAAGAGTTTTCTGTCAGTCCTCCATCAGTCCCTGTCTTCACTACATCACTGACGTATGTTTCAATTGGGATCTAAGTTGCCTGGATGGAAAGAGGTTCAAGCAATTACAGACTGTTTAAACTTTAAAATAATGTGTGTGAAGACATGAAATCCACACTGTTGTCATGTACTCACCTTTTCACAGTTTGACCCTTTAAAAAGAGCAGCTGACATTAACACATTTGCTCTGAGTTGATGAATGTATGAAGCAAACATGGGAGCACTGACACAGTCTTTGACCTCTCTGTGTGCGTACTCATTATCACAACAGCGCTCGCAAACCTCCGCCATTATCTGTGCCACTTCTAATGCCTCTTTGTAAACACACAAATTAGTCTGCAATTACGCAAGAGTTTGGCCCTTGGTTCAGTCGTAAATGGAGAGAGTTTTGTGTTTCTTACCTCCACAAAGAGGAAGCAGGGCACAATGGAGCTGCTACTCTTCACACCAGGCTTCTCCTCGGCAGCCATCTTGTGATTCCTTTGGTCTGCGAGGTTCCTCTGTCCAGCTGGTCTCCTACAAGAAGAAAATATCATCTTACATTCATAGAACATTTAAAAGGCTGTATTTAACTTTTATGAGGTATTAATTGCTAACACATAATATATTTAGATCACCAGGTTTCATTTTATTGTATTGAAAATGATATTATACTATATTTGCCAGAAAACAACATATTAACATGTTTGCAAAGTTTCACTGTTGTTTTTGATGCTCTGAGTCTCCATTACTTTTGCTCTCTGCACTAAGTCACTCCCCCTTCAGAGAGCTATCGCAACACAATCGGCATGCATCCAGCTAAGGAAACTTCAGCACATCGCATCAGGTTTGTCAAGTTGTTCCTTAAACATGGTTGATACAGGCTTGTGGGCTGAGCATTGCAACAAATCTTACAGCTAACAGTAAGGAGGATTTGCCTGGGAGAGATCACTAAATTATAGGGGTGTAACGATATTCAAGTCTCTCGATATGATATCGTCATGGCATGACCCTCACTGTACGATATTTATATCGTGGGAAAACTCTAATACAAATTTCAAACAAAATCCAATCACACAATAACAATAATGATAGCCTTGACAAGACTTAATCCAAAAAACTAAGACTTAAAAGTGCTTAGGATGATTATTTCTTCTTGTAGTCTACAATGAAATAGAGCAAAGGATCATGGTCTATGTAGTTCCCTCTGTCTTTTTTTTAGCTATCACTGAATCATAGCTTTTAATTTAAGCAAAGAGACTTGTAATTCGATATGATGTGATAGTCCACGATATTATTGTGAGAAATTTGACGATACAATATCACAATATTTTGGTTATTGTTAAATTCCTATGAAATTACTAAAACATGCATGGATAACATCTAAAACCTCTTCAGGCATGTATCTGATGAGGTAGCAATGTTTTAACATGGTAGAAAGTTCATGAATATTACAGACAGCTTGTTTTGATTGCAAAGTAAGTATGTGATACTGTGACACAGAACCCACAGACGTATGCTCAGACTCATCTGCATTAAACTGTACATTCAATAAAACCAGTGAGCTGAGGAGTGCGGAGAAAGGGATTTCTTGTTTCAAAGAACTTAATGAGAGGTGAAGTTGACCTCCCTTGAGCTTTTATCTCACTCTGTCTATAGAGAATAGGCCTGAGGATGAATAAGGCATGAAGCAAGCTCCCAGCAGCCCAAAGAACAAAGCAATGTGCCAACCAAGACGCGTAAGTCACTCCAACTCAGAGCTCCTGTCCCAAAGAAGGGTCTGACCGGTAACACAAGACAACTTAAAAGAAAGATACTGCCGCACACTGCCCATAAGAGGCTCTAGCTCACTTTAGGGCCATCAGAGCGAGAAGTTGTGTTAGCTTATCTCAAGATGAAACCTTAGGGAAAGCAACAGAACAAAATGAGGCGGAAATATCCTGTGAGGATTAACAGGTGATAAGTGGGACACTGGACTGAGGGGAATACTAGACACTTATTCTCTACAGCAGTCCAGGTGTCTCTGAGGTGTCCCACACTTTATCATTAATGATCAGCAAAGATTTTAGTAAGAAAGGATTAATTTAAAAAAAGGGCTGAATAAAAAAGAGCATTTTTTTGTTTTGTTTTCAGAAGCTGATCTATATGCTGATGTTATTTCCCAATAGAATAGAGGAATTAAAATAACAATATACTTTCATTTGTGTGTATATATATATATATACATATATATATATACATATACATATATATATATAAAATTAGTGTTTTCTTAGTTTGTTTTGTATTAAAGAGGAAACCAAAGTTATCATCTTAAAAAACTAGCAGCATGAAAAGACGCCAACAAGTTAAATCAAGTAGCATTTATATTGTCATTAAAACCACAGCTCTTCAACCATCTGTAGGAAATAAACAAATGATGTACTTTATTACCCCTTATCCTTCAACCCAAGAATTGATTATGTTATAATTCCACAGGACTTAATAACAAGAAGAGCCTTAGTTATAGCTTATTACTTTGTGCCTTCAGACCAAGAGAATCATAAACTGATACAAGGCAAGCTACTCCCTCATATGAGATTTTCACATCACAAGCTCAAAATGTCTGCTGTTTGTCAACTGCACTGACTGTGGAGTCCAGTAGCACTTTCCTTCTTAGTCCCATATGGAAGCACACAGGTTCATTGTGTGACAATATTCAATAAAGGGCAAGAAAAGACAGCCCATCTGGCTCTGATCTGATTAGAGGCTGCAGTGAAAGGCAACCAAATCTCATAATGCGGTTATCAATCACCAACAATCCACGGATATGTCAACAGAGGCAGAATCCACTTATGAGTCGAACAAGTGGGCAGTCCTAAAAGAGGCAAATTAAGAGTGGCGAGAATACAAAATGGTGGTAAAGTCGGTGATAGAGCAGAGATGCATACACACTGCCATATGTCCCGCTGCAGTCTGCCCCGGGGCATACAGGAGCATACAGGAAGGCAGGCCTGACATGCAAACACAAGGGTTAATTGAAGCTTACAATGTAGATCAAACATATTACCATGTTGTAATACAATGGTTTTACTGTAAGTTTGTGTGTGCACGTATTTGAAGTTAAAACACAGCATTAAATAGGCTAAACTTTAACATGGCATCCTCAAATTGGTGAAATCAACTTAATACCCTCAACAAATCACCATGTTCTCTTCCTGTATAATTTATTCATTAGGATACACTTACTCTGGTTGTGTTGATCCTCCTACTAAGCCACTCACCTCTTCTCTTCTGTGACTGGAGCATCACTCAGATCTGTGCAATTGTAGTGACCACTCTTTGTTATGATTTTGCCACCACTAGCCAAGGCTATTGTCTGACAGAGGCTGAAGAACCCTGAAATGATCTCACTTGGAATAATTAGACATCACACCATAATATAGTAGCTACAAGATAACTGTGAAAGATTGAATTGTAAAATGCTCATTCATAGGGGTTTTTAGATTTTTTTTGGCTGCCTATAAGCACTCAAGAGGAGGTGGGCTATAGGGTACTTTCTATGACACCTGCCCCTGTCCACCCACTGACTGCACCAATAGAATTTTCACCCTTAAATTTGCACAGTAACACTCGTGCTGACTCATGCTTTTTTCACAGACAAATTCTCTTACTACCGCGACACATACATCGCTTTTTCCATAATCGTCCTATTTACGTTCCTCTGAAAAATGGACAAACGCGTGTAGCCTTCTCCAGGTCCCACATGAGCATTCTTAGTGAGGCCGTAGTTAGATTTCCTCGGGGCAGGTGGTTAGGGCACGGTTTGGGGGAATACCACCGGGCAGAAGGAGACACTCCCCCCACAGCACAGCCCAGGTGACACCGCGAATGTGCTCCAAGACGCTACAGGACAACTGGCCTCTCTCCTCTTGTCTTACCTTGGACACCTTGTCGCTATAACGAGGCTGCGTGGAGCCTATTCGTTCCCCATGATGCAGATTTGAAGGTCTTTGATTTACAAGTCGTCCTTCTTTCAGTCTCGTCCCTCCGTCCTCTTCCTCGCTCCGTCCTGGTCAGGTGTTTGCCCGCGCAGACGGAGGGGAGACTGAAGCAGACCCAAATGTTCCCGCGGTTAATGAGCTTCTTCCTCGTGCCGGATAAATGAAGCTCGTGTGCAGCGCGAGCCTCCACTTCCAATGCAGCTCTGTAGCACGCGGACACTGGAGAGCGGGAACATGTGTGCGCGAGGGCGAACGTGCGCGGTGCGTGCGTGCGGGACAGTGGGAGAGGAAGGGGGAGCGTGCCGCCGCCGACCGTATATGTGTCAGCTCATTTGTATTCAGACACTGCCTGCATGTTCTCTGTAGAGTTGACAGTACAGAGAGTGGACTGTATCGTCACAGATTAGGCTTTTGGCTGCGCACGACGAGTCACGAGACACAAATGACCACATGTGTTGGCTGGTGCCCTATGGTGTTTGATGAATGATACAGTGTAGGCCAGTGGCAAAGTAGCGGTGTAACGTGAGCCATATGGGCAGCAATAGGGCATAATTTATCTCCACAATTAGGCTATAAAAATTGAGATAAACAAAGTCAAACTGATTCAGTAAGTATTGTTGCTGGGTCCTTATATTGGCAAGTTTCACCAAACCTGTGTGAATTTAGTAGTATGGTTTGTTAGGGGTCTTGCCCCAAGGGAGTTGGGAATGAAGTAGGCTAGCCAGGCTATATTGCCAGTATGTTTGAAAGGATAATGTCATAAAATTGAAGTGTGAGTCTTTAAAAACAAATTATTACATTGGACTGTGTCGTCCACATTCTGGCTTTATGTGAGTTAACCACACACTATTCTTTGATCCATAAGAACTTCATGCAGGTCAGAGCTGTTAACAGCTTTAGAGACAAGAAGTGCTGAACGTGTCCACTGGTTCAAAACCACTTGCTCAGTGCTAATGAAAAATTGTGTTTTGGATATTTAATAAGTTCTTTCTGTGAACAAGCATGACACTCAGGACTAAATATATAACTAATTTACCTGATGTCTTAGCAGGGTGTAGAGTGTGCACCCAGACCAAAAGTACTGCTATAAGCTCCTACAGTTTGTGACCAAACAAATTAGTTGAATACATTGTGTATATGTGGAATAGTACTTTCATCCAAATGGACCAAGCTTTTAAATGCCTGACCAGCAATAAAAACAAAAAAACAAAGCAAAACTATATTATAGTGCAGTATTTTGCTGCTTTGACCTCATTCCACAATGTCCTGGTTCGAGCATGTATAGACCCCCACCTTCTAAAGGAAGGATGCTAACCTCAGGTCTTTCCAACAGCCACTTTCCCTTTTCTTCATGAATATGGCATCACCTCAGTGACAGAAAGGACCACCAGCTCCTCACCTCTGCTCCTCACATGACCCAATATTGTATAAATGATTAAGGACGTCAATAGTAACCGCTGTAGGGTGTGTAATGAATCTTTTGTCTTAAAACTAGCCGCCCTCCTCTGGTTTCTATGCTGAGTGTGCAGCTTTGGCACGCCGGCCCGGTTTGTG